TCAACCGAATCGAAGGCACCTTTGATGTCGATGAACACGGCAACGGTGGGCCGCCAATATGTGTGGCGGTGCTCCAACAACTGACGCAAGGTGAAGGTGTGGTCGATGCAGCCACGACCCCGACGAAACCCGACTTGCTGCTCACGAATCTGGCTTTCACGAGCGCCAGTCAGTCTGTGAAGAATTATGGAGGCGATGGAGTTCAGACTGATTCCTCTATGGTTGCCGCATTCCGAGCGCGAGCCGCCTTTGAAGATGGAAACAATAACGGAGCGGCTCCAGTCGGTTGGGACAGTCTCCTGCTCCCACAGTTTCACTAGTATTTCATGTAAAGCATCAATAAGGGCAGAGCCTCCGAATTTGATGAGGGCTGGAGGAAGACCATCTGGTCCCGCGGCTTTGTGCAACTTCAACAGTCCGACCTCACGTCCGACTTCTGAGCGAGAGGGTGGATCTAACGGGACAGCCCACGGAGGAGGGCTATCAGTGACCGGCGAATCGAACAATTCTAGCCGATTAAATTGCTTTTCAAAATGCTCAGCCCAACGCTCCAAACGTTTTGACAAATTGTGGATAGGCTGTCCACTCTCATCACAAATTGTTTCACTAACACCAGGTCTCCTGCTGCCCGTTTCCCGTATCAGACGGAATAACTTACGATGGTTACCAAGGGCAGCGGCCACTTCCATCTCTGATGCACGATGAGACCACCAAGATTCGCGGTCTCTCTTCAGGCTAGCGCGGAGTTTTGCCCAGAGCTCTTTGCGAGTTTCATTGTGCTCGCTTCCAGCCGGAATATGCCGGCGAGCGTCGATAAGTTCCAGAGACCGAGAAGAGACCCAATGTCCATGTTGGCTTTTAGACATACCACATGAGGATTTGCCTGCTGCTAGTAAGGTCTGGCGAACATGTGACCAGTGACCATCAATTGTCTCCAGTGAGCGAGTATTCAACTCGCATGTCAGCGTACTTTGATACACATTCAGAACAGCTGGCTTTGTCAGTTGGCTGGTGTCAATGCGCTCACAGCGTCGTCGTGGGCGTCCGCCAAAGCGCATCCGCACGTCAGCACATACAAGTGCATGGTCGGTGTCCACACATGTGCTCCAAATCGAGCGGCAGTTCTGGACGCAGCCCCTCCAGCGGTAATTTACCGCAATGTAATCGATTTGCCTTCATAGCTGGTTCGAGGCTGGTGGCCGCCAAGTCACCCTCCGGCGGGTGCTGTGTCGGAAATTAGTGCTCACAAGAAATAAGTGAGTATCCTCACACAAATGAAGTAACCGCTCACCGTTATCATTACGGGAGCCTACACCGTGCTGACCGCCCAGATGCATTTCATCAGTGGACAACTTTCCAACTTGTGCGTTCATATCCTCCGCCAGCACAACAGTGTCCGTGCTTCTTCTGTGGCGAAGGAGCTGAGTCAGTTGGCGGTAGAAGTCGTCTTTTACCGAATCATCGCTACAGTTTGTGGGCGCGTAGGCAGCGATGATGAATAGACACCTATTAGTCCCGCGCGACTTCGAAGCTTTAAACGAGCCAGCCAATCGGACCGCATACATCCGGCTACTGATTAGAATCCAATCAACCAGAGTAGTTTCAGCCCGGGGATTCAGGGCAATGCCAACACCAGCTTGGCCGGTGCTCGAAGCTGCATCGTCACTGGATAGGCACACAGAGAAAATACTGCTTGCGTCACCTGAAGGGGATCGCAGAGTGAGCACAGAGCTCGAATCTTGCAGGCGAGTCTCTGATAAGCGCAGATATCGATCGAGAGGGTCTCCAATGTTCGGGCAAGTGCTGCCTGTTGACCGATTTGTAACAGTGTGCGTACATTGAGGCATGCCAATCTGAAGGAGGATCGAGGGCTCCAAATGGAAGCCGATGAACTGGAATGGACCGCTTGGTTGGACATGGGCTTGTCGACAGGAGAGGAGTGACGCTCCGCGTTCACGTGTGAGTTGAAATTAGAAGGTAAATGCCTAGTAAAGCATGTTGGGGGAGGGCCAAGAATCGGGGGTTGAAAACTGGGGGGGTATAAGTGAAGTTGGAAGGGGACGGTAAGAGTGAAAAAGCGTAAGATAGGGAATAAGAAGACGGGAAGACTTGAGCAGTAGCATCCAAACCCCTATCCACCCTGCTCGATGCAGCAGATACGGCACCGTTTATTATCCTCTGCGGTGGCCAGAGCATCAGCAATTTGTTTGAGATAATATTCATTGAGTTGAATTATACTTCAGCTGGTTCCGATGCGGCCGCTACACCAGCCATCGTACTCTGTACAATCGGTATCACATTTCTGTACCAGCACGGCGTTGCACAGGACCAAATGGAGTCTGGTGTGCAGGGTCGTTCTTTCCTTACCGCTATATTCAAACTTTCGCACATATTATCCCAATTCATCTAATTTTAGAGCAAGATTTCGAATCGCAACAAACTTTTTTCTGCAACTGCGTGAGCTGTGAAGATTTATTTTTCCTTTTTGCAGTGTTGCGATCCATACTGGATCCTAGCGTCAGTCATGTAGGTAAATTTCGATCGTCGTTTGTTTATCAGCGTTTAGGGCACCGAGCGTGTCGGGACAGGCACATTGTGTTAGTTGACAACGTCCTGTGGGTGAGACCACAGGTGCGAACAAAACCGACGGAAGTTAACACACAACCTTACGGTTGTAGGCAGTGGGCGCTTGGATATCGGCCGGGCGGGTCTCGGCTTGTTGGAAACTTGAGCGTATCAGAATTCATGCTAGCTTGGCGAGTGTTAAGGTGATAGATACTGAGCTGCAGTTATCAAACGGAGTGTCGGATTCTTGTAGTTTGGAAGTCGTTGGATATCGCAAAGAGCATCCTCTCGAATGAAGCTGACAAGAATGTTATGCACTCGAAAAATACAGTTGATGTGCACATATGTTTCATTGAAAATCCTGGAATTGAAGTAATGGATGTAACGATGGTACATGCTGGACAATCATGTACTTTTAAATCCACTTGATGGTGCATGTAAATCCGAGTTGAATAAGTTCAAGCACAGCAATATGCTTAGAGAATTGTGGCTGGTAAGTCCAGAATGATAGGAGGGGCGAAATAACGCGACCAAACAAGTAACAGGCAACGTGTACCTTCTTCAACCCTACTCGGATTGTCTTAGCCTTATCTGAGCATGCAAGTCACAATTGTCCAGTTCCGGACAGTCCGTAGGCACTACTAATAGCAAAATCACCACACCTCTCTCTAGGCCGAGTTCACGCAATTTAATGTTCGATCACTGCAGTTTTGTTGATTGTTGGGTTTTGGAATACCCGGCGTGTGTCTTGGATGGCGACACGCAATCTCTATTGTGGCCACGGTTAACTTTCAAGTCATTCTGTGTTATTCCCTTTACTAGGACCGTATCCGAAGTGTAGGTTTTGTTATCGCTCTCTCCCATCCCTGTACTTCACGACTGACGGTTTCATTCTTGTTTTAACTTCGTTCGCGGACGATGCATGAGACTAACCTTTTAATCACTGTTTTTCTGCCGTTCATGATGCAACTTAAATCATTATTTGAAATGATCTGCATGTGCCTGATTTCTTCCAACTCGCAGTAACGATTCCCTTATCGAACATCTCCTATCCTACCAGATACACTGCTGTATGGGACTACCTACCACAGTCTCTCTACTCCATATGTTACGTAATCCCATGCTCCTTTGAAACTACGCACATGCCAGATGCAAGCTATAAATGAGCATCATCTACTAAAACTGCTACATACGTGTCTTACGGTGATCTCTGGGAACGCCCATACCTAAGATGCATCGCTATGATCTGCAGTCTGTCACACCCTCTCTCACTCCCTTATATCACCAATTTCATCGCTCCTCTCCTGTCAGCGCCTTATCGGCACTTCCCAGAGTGGTTGCATCTATTTTCTGATATACTTTACACTGCCAATGCAATCCTCCCCGTATGCTTGGCTATGCAATTGCAATGTTTGTAAAACTTTTGCCAAGCTTTTAGCAAACTTTCACACACACACGCGTTGTTCTTTGAGCTGTTTCATTGTCTCTTTGGCAACAATCCGACGAACAGCTTGTGCACATACTCACTTCAGCGGTTGTACCTCCCCAACCAACATTCAGAGCAAAATGCGGCAAATGGCACTTTGTTGTCTAAGAAAGTCTTCACATGCGCCCAACAGCTGCAGCGCGCTTCCTCTGTCGGTCGTCTCGCTATTACAAAAGTTCGGTTTCTTTTTGAACGCCCCTCGTATTCGGCGTTAGCCGTGGTCTTCCGATAGTAGGCGTTCTCTGGCCTTGTTGTCGCGAATGCTAATCAGCAGATATTGGACTGTCATAACCTCTTCAAATTGCGTAGGTGGAATTTTTTATGACAGCGATCGGGCGGTGACTGTTATATGCGGATTATAAATCCGGGTGAAGATAACAGTGCACGAAATTTAGATTATTTCAATAGATCATCTGCTCGTTGATCACTTACGGACTACAAATTTACAAACTGATAACCTTTGCAACCCAGTTGCCAACTCCGTGAGCACGTGAACACCTGCTTGATTCGGCTTGCTATTGGTCTTCTTTCTTGCACGTGAGCTGAGTGGACTTGATTTATCGTTTTCGCCTACAAAACTTATCCAGCATTATTACCCTGGTTCCACCACTCATCTTCTTAATCCAACAAGGGCATTATCGAGTCAGCAACACGTATACATCAGCGGTGATTCGCGTCCACTTTTCCTTTCTCTCCTCCTGACTGTTTATCATCACAAACGGGACGGTATTTTATGCTCTGTAGCAGCATCGTGCATGCTAATGATGTGTTATTCGCTGTTCCTCCTATATAGGGCCGAGCTGTTATTAAATTTTTCCTAAAGCATTAATGGCACTTGATGGGATCTACAATTTTAGAGCATTCCATCGTTGATCGTTGTTATTCGTATTATTCACTTTCGGTTCATGTCCCGATACGTTCGCTGCTATCTCACTCATTCGGAAGACAGGAAGTTCTGGTCCCTGATGTTGGCAGCGAACAGTATACTGGCGGTCCCATACTCCGAATATCCTGTTCGGAACTTCCTCCAGTCGGTGGTCTAGCCGTAAGGGAAGCAATGGAAATAAGTGTGGCTCCAATGACTTTACAGGTACGTCACTTTTTCGCCTGTGCTTGATCTCATTGAAACAGGTTATCGTTGACGATATTGATGTCCGACTAAAATGTACGAGATAGGGGCTCGACCTCGGTGAAGTTGCGGTCTGTTAATTACTAAATGCTGATTCACTGCTATGCCTTCCCTACGGGTTCACTGACACTTCAATTGTTCTGTCCTCGTATCCACTTCCGGAAATGATATTATATCCATTAACTACCTGGTACTTAATATTTTAACACATATTGTGCTAAAGCGTCACCACCATAATTAAGCATGCTCTTTGCAAGGTATCCGTGGGCATTGCAATAGGAACTCGTATGTATCACAAGGAATGCTTATCTTCAGTAATCCGAGAATTCCTATTTATTGGAAATAATCATGGGGGCGAGTGTATGTTGAGTAAGGAAATATTTCCGGCAAAACTCTCGTCAGACTCATACGTTTTGCATAAGGGAGATTATTCGCTGATTATTCCGAATTGGATATTGATTAATATGTTTAGTGCAACGGCCGATTCAATAAATCATGCTGGCACTAGAATAGTAGCTTAAGTAGGAGAAGGTTTCCTAGCTATATCACTTTCGTAGCAACTCAAAGGGTAACTGAGGTTGCAATCGAACGATTACGTAACGTTAGCTGTTGGCTGCGGTAGAATTAATGAGCGTATGAATTATTTCTTACACGGGGTTCTGATTTGAGTTGTTGGATGCAGATAGCTTCAGCAATAGACAGATTTTTTTAGAACCCGCTAGGAAGCCTTCGGTATTGGAGTAGATGACTCCAAAATCAAATTCGAGGAGGTGCGACATGACGTAGCTGGTCGAAGGCCTAGCTTCGGCTGTGCAAAACACCGAGATACACTCGCGAATCCACTGAAATAGTTGTTCCGTAATGCTACCCACCTTCCACCCACACCACAGGAGCACAAGCGCTGATAGACGGGTATCACGCGAGTCAGCAGCGACAACCCGTTTATTAAATAAAGGCTTATTGTAGTACACCATTTGCAGGCAATCCACGAAGTAGGTTTTCTCAATAAAACTTCCCAGGCATCAGAGCGTCTGCTTTCTAAATGAGCATGTCATAGCGATCTACAAGTTGAGCAGTTGGACGAGCCACTTGCGACATTGTTTCTGGATACTGATACCGCGTTCGATCGAAGGAACGTATATAGCTGTGTGCAAACTCATACATTCCATAGACGCAATGTCCGGACGACACTTATAGGTGCCATTATATCGACTGCACTTTGCTTGTTCGTCTTTCAGCCGGACGAACCTTCCATGGCTCAGTGGACTGATACCCTCAACTCCGGTGAACCAAATCTACATTCTTCAAGGTTGATTCGACGATTTAGGGTCCCCAAGCAGTGTATTGCATCGCGCAGCCTTAAGCCATGTTCCACACTTTAGGGGTAGAAAATGTAAATTTCATCCATACAGGCAACTTGTCCATACAGATCTGCTAGTGAATGATTCGCGAATTTTCGCCTGGATGCAAGGACGGAACTGAAACTCGTTGGTGAGTGTTAATGGCGGCGGTCTTTTAAATTGAAATTGTACACTTCATGGTACGGAGAAATATTGCCCCCCCCCCCCAATGGGACGGATCATGTTTACATGTACAACATGCTCACGCATACGGAACTGTCGATAGTTGGGATTTATGCGGGGATACGACTAGCATATTTTGGTAAAGATCTTCCATTGGAGCTATTACTGTCATTATCTACCATTTTCCGGACATTCTCAGTTGTTGCGTTACGATGTATGTCTGGGACTACAATGTTGGCAAATTTTATGAAAAGAAAAAACAATTGAGCCTTCAAGCTTTCAGCTGCGTTCACTAAAGTAGGTGAAGTAGTATCCACAGAGGTGGGAGTTAGCAGTCTTTACTCTGCCTAATCACTCAGGATGCATTGTGTGTTGCGGAGTATCTGGGAACTTAGCTGGACTCAGTGGCTATCCGTTACATCTTAACTTGCAAGTGGAAATTCAGGGTTTGCCTTGCAATATGAAGAAGAAGTAAACATTGAAGGAGGTAAATAGTCTTCAATAGCTTCTGCTTGTATAACGCACTTGAGAGTTTGAATTGTCAGACTATAAAACAGAATGAATGAGACGCAGGATATACATGGTTTGTGCTTCCTCTCAGCGTTAACCTGCAGGCAGAACCAATTTTTGGATGACGATCTGACTTTTCAGCGTCTTGAAATCATTGCATATACATACTGTATCATCTCTGTTTGAGACGGTGACGAGCAGTTGATTGTATTTATTTGATCGTTGGTTATCGTTCCTAATTGTGCGAATGTTTGTAATGCTTCATTCAAAATGTTCTTACCCCCAACAGCTGAGTTTCGATTACCTTGTTTTTATCCCATTCCTTCCACACATATTCCATCACCAGATTAGCAAACAGTTTTACCGAGTTATGATGCCTTACTTCTTTCCTGAGAAATCTGAACTTGCGAGTGTTTCACCGCATCCTGCATCCTGCACATTCACAACGGCCGGTATGTTGGCTCATTATTGTCCGTTATTTTTATCAGTTATGTGTCCTTAATCGTCCTATTCCGGGCTATTCGTTACCATCTCTTTACTTGATTGAGTATCCGTTTCAGTCGACCTGTGTTCTACCTCTGTAATAGAATCTGGTTTGATCACAATGTTTAGCATGTCACGATGGGCCACTTTGTCTGCTTTTCCAAAAATCTCACAATTGCCGAACGAAGTCGCTAGTGACTGAACTGGACAAACGGGGCTCTGCATTCCATTCGACCTCAGTTCCCCGTGTTACATCGAATACAACACTTATGTATTGGTCGAAAGCACAGTAGCTGCGTTTTACTGACAGTGAGAGATTGTTGTATAGTTCCCGTTAGATCAGAACAAAGGCTGGACAACTGCCAGAATCGAGAACCCCTAAATCGAGAAATCGCTTGATTGTGCAAGAATTCGAAAGGATTCACACTTTTCTTCAACTTTATTGATCTCACTCCGTTTCCAGCTATAGCTAACCAGTTTATTTTAGTTTGTCCACGCTTATTCTTCCATCTTTTTCCGAATCGACTAGCTTCATTCTCACTCCTAGCAACCTTCCATCTTACCCAAGATAGACCGAACCACTCATGGACTGCCCATCTGCCTCAAGCGACCGATCCCAAATAGGTTGCACTTGATTGGATCAGCATCCGCTGACTGCACACGAAATTCGTTTAATCTGTTCGTCAGTTTTCATCACGTTTCTTCCTTTTCACTTGCGTGATAACTGTGTGGTCTTATCGATTTGTACGGTAGTATCGCATATAACAAATAATTGCTCGAGTTGTTCAAGGCGGGTTCCAAATGAATTTTCGGAGTGATCGATCAAAAGCACTGAAAAGTTAACAGTACTAATAAATATAGCTACAAATTTTAGGGAAGTAATAAGACCATCCGTAGAACCGTGTCATGGGGACTTGCTCCCATGCAGGGTAGTCATTCGAAGGGTTTTACCCACATTTCTACGCACCTGTCTTTCCATGTACTGGTGTGCATTGAGAGCCATCGTTATATGCGGTGTGCGCTCCAGCGATCCAGCCAGTTTCATCATTCCGCTTTTCGAGTCCGACACTTTCTTCTCCTTTACCTACTTGGATGGTAGTATTTTTTGGAATGCACCGTTCTCGTCCTTTTCATTTTAGACAATTACCCCACGAATCAAGCGTCCACTGTGTCGTCAAGTATGGTTCGTTTATCCCATGGACCTGATAGAGGTCGAGTGGTTCCTGTGATGCCAACGGATGTCGTGGCTTCAACGAGTAAGTGCGATTCACTCCTACACACTACGCTTGTACGAATTTTCAACAGTGCATCTGAATACAACGGCATCCGTATTACGTTTATCGTCATTCTCCCCAGGGCCATTTACTTACGCTAAACGGCGCTTTTATCAGACTCCAGGCTTGTTGCGGCAATTTCATCGTGGTCAAACAAACCAAACTGCCCGTCTGATATTAGCGGAGACATTTTCAGCGGACAGATTTCCCTCTGATATGCTTAATCAATCTGGTCTCCTCAGTATGAATATGGACTCTCCTATCATCGACCAGGCTAGTCGCACTATCGTGGCCGACGAACATCGGTCTGCAGCAAACGTGCTGAGCGAACTAGGACCTTTGGCGCTTTTTCGAAGGTAAGTTACCTCACTGTTTGTCCCACTTCGAATCGTTTGCTTTCTTCCCCCATCAGAGTAGTTTTGATCGTCCCTGGTTTGTTTGTTTGCGGCAGCACGAAAGTGATAAGGAAAGTGCCAAGTTTGCTTCTCAGAGGAAAATCATGTCGATCGCTGCGCGCTCTTACATCTCGCGTGGACTTTTAGTGTCGTGTCTTTGTTCAGCCTTGGGCGCCCCAGTTTTCTGTGCCTTCCGAAATGTCACAGCAAATTCTCTTTTATATCCCACCAAGACCTCACAAACGCAGTTAACAAGCACTTCCATTGACCGCTCAGTTCGTTCGTTACATTGAAATTGACCACATTCAACAGTACATTGCATCGAAGTCGGTTTTCAAGCTTACGCAGTCCTCCAAAAATACTGTGCCGTGTCTCATGCACTATGCAACTTTCCATTCAGACTGATTATGCTTTCACGCTTCCTAATCACCGTTTCATATCTGGTGTCTTCTAGTCGTAAACTGCTACCATGTGTACTGTATCTACCCATTTGGTTCTCTTATCTTATAGTCAGGGTGCTGGTGATCGTGACACTCCTGCTGTCTCCTTGAGACTCGCTGACGCTGGCTCTGAATACCACGGAAATGTGCTATCTTCACCTGTACTCTCCACCAATGACACACGTCACACGAGTGACTTCTTGAACTCCTTGCTTTTATCTTATCATACACCTCCGATTTCCGCAACAAGTGACTTGGCTTCACTTCAGCTCACAGATTCGATTAACCGATCATACGGACAGAAATTCCCGAGAGACCCGACTTCCACGATCATCAGTCCGGTCGACGTGATGCGTGTAAGCTTTGTGATCCTTGTTTACTTAACCACTTCTCTCCAGTGTGGTCACCAATTCTGTCACTTGAAAATGTAACTTAACATTGTTTCAAAGGCAAGATGTTGGCTAAATTATAACCATTCTCTTTGTATTTATATTTTTTTCTAGTACAGGTATGAATAACCCGTATACTTTACTAGGATCTGTATGCAATATAATCCGACTCCTCTCGGCTTTCAGTGGTATTGTGTCAACAGTGTGAACGGCTGAGCTAATTGTGTACTCTTAGGATTGACATGTGCGAACCCAGGGACGTGATGATCGGATTCACTAGCCTTATTCTGCATACAGATCAGTTGTGTCCTCAGTTCCATGCTCTCATCTTGTCATTGAAATACTCCGCAGAAATTCCGGACGGGAAACGAAGTCTTGATGTACTGTCGTTTTATTGCTTGTTAAAACCAGCAATATCGTTGGACATCCATTTCCGCTTTAAACACGAGTGCTTGCCTCGTTCAGTGAGGTACTGTGCTTTATCAGTAATGAGTCTATACGCTACTTATCCACCAGCTATACATTGCGCGCGTTGATTTTGTTTTCTGGGTTATTGGTTAGTCGGTCTTGTTGAATTTTTCGCAGTTTTTTTCCTTTTCTGAAGTCATGGAAATTCTACAAAGGCAATCACTCTCGGGTTTATATGGATTAACAGACAAAATAGAGTAGTAAGCTGTGCTCTGTTTCATTTGTCAATTCATCTAGATTGTGGCTTTTCATTGATCAATTTTCCACCTTTCAGCTCTACTTCTCTAAGCGAATTGTACGTTTAAACTAGTGTGTAAATTCCGGAGCTAACCGGATAATACGCTCGCGGTGATAGCCCGTATTTTCAGAGTTTTGACTTACGGCCGTCCGCAGTAAAGAATTAAGAAATCCTTTGTCCTGCAACATCTCTAGAGCTTCATAATAAGAATGTGTATCTTCTTCCACCTATCTATCAGGAACGTGCTCGCCAAAACAACGTATTTCTATACATAAAGATCCCCGGCTTTCCTATTTGTTTGAGCTATAAAGTGAGTTTTCACGCCCCTACTTCTTTACCCATTTCTTTAAAAATAGGTTTGTGATTACTTATTGATGCGCTATGGAACACGTAAGCACTAGAGTACCTGACTCTTTCTCTAGGCCACCATGTCGTTTCGTTTAGATCAGTTTACACTATTTAATCCTCTCACTCATTTTCCATATATCAGCAAGGGATAAAAAGCAGTAGAGGCATTACAGCGGAACTTACTATAACCGTACTCACTCAAACAAGTACTGCTCACACAAAATAATCACTATACCGCTCTCTAATCCGTTAGAGGCCCGCTAGTAATGCGCGTTCCCTCGACCTGATAGACGTTTAGGTCTGCTACGCCTCCCCAGCAAAACGGAAGTAAATAACACCGGGTAACACCAAATGCTAAGCTCTGATACGATTCAATCAATAGCTGGATGTATCACATTTTCCACCGTTTTATGTCGCTTCTGTGGAGTCCGCCTTCAAAATCGTCCTCAGCCGATGCACAACAGTCGGTTGGAGCGTAGATTACGAACAAGTTGCATCCCTCTCCACGACATGTTGATCCGAACCGTATACATCCGGCGTTCAAACAGGAAGCAATCGAACAGTGTGGCCTCATTATTGTCATTTATTATGATATCAAAATGAACGTGCTCCCTCGTCCCGGCGAAAGTACAGTTACTGGAGTGCTTGTGAGTTGTCTGAAGGCCCAATTTGTGCATCTTGACGACCAACGATGTAGGCTCACATAGTGATGACGATGTGAGAATGCTCGTCTATTTCTCGCGAGCACTTCCAACACAACACCTAGTGGGCATTGACAGTGTCTACTAGCCTCAGATCTGCGATGAACGCAAATCGATCACTGCGAGATTAGCTTCCGTTGGACGGGATGCAACTAAGACTATCGATTTGAGACACAAGCGCAGACTCCCACCATGCGCTTGAATGTACTGATCACCGGATGTGTTTCAGCGGACACTCGAAATGACGCTGTGGGCGGAAGAATGACATTCCCTGAAACTCGATCTCGCATCCGCAACTGAGTGCAACTAACTATCGGTTATGGAAATGGCATCCCAAGCGTTCGTTGCCTAGCGCAACTGGAGTTCGGCAATTTTGCTGAGGCCTTGGGCATCGGTGTACATGCAGGAAAGTGTTTCGGTTCTCAGCCGAAAGACATGTGGTTCAGATGAGGATTGTTGCCGTATTCTGTGGCATTATCGCTGAGTCACTTGGCGGCATCATACTTAACCTCTTTGGTAACTCATTTTGCACGGTTCATGGTGGTTACAGGGTTGCATAGGAAGATACTCCCTTCTTTCAGACCTGTCAGTTGAGGTGGTGCTTGCATTTGGACGACAATTTCACCCGCTGTTTTGAACCGGAGCTCGGTTGGCAGTCTGTTCCGGAGTGACTGACAGCTTTCCACCGCCTAGTTTAAAACATGACATTTGTTATCCTTGGGCCGCACCCGTTGTAGCTTGCCGATCTTGATAGCGAAGTAGCTAAAATATCATCCAAGAACAGGATCTCATGAATATGGCGTCACTGCTCCTGGTCGTGAGCTTCTGCTTCGCACCATCGTACTCATAAGGCAGAGGGACGTTATGAACAAAAACGATTCTGGCTACGATATCTAGGCTCTGCTTCGCTCGCTCCATGGAGCGTTTAGAAAGACACGGACCAAACAGGATTCGTTCTAGAGACGAGCTGTCGAAATCAAGGTTGCTTCCAGCTCATCGAGAGCTTAGCAAGACTCGAGAAAGCTTGGCTTCACCATGGTACTTGGAACTCGGGTGGCGAGTGAGCTTCGCCAGGTTGATGAGCTTAGCCGTAATACCGAGCAAGTTGCTTATGGTGTTCCATTGACTCAGCTCGTCCATCTTCTTCCCTTTCAATGAATTCGATGCTGTGTAGAACGTTAGTACATACAATGAGTAGTGCATCCCATTGTTTACGAGTGTCTTTCAGAGGAATTTGGGTCGTGTGTGGGCGATCGGGCGGTTTTATCTGCACCAGTACGGCATTGCCTCTCACACTGCTCTTTCAAGTTGTAGTAGAAACGGCAACTGTCGACTTAGGAGTTACCCTGGATGCACTTACGGCCAAGTTGTCACTTATATTGGGTTTTTTTCCTGAGTTTCGTCTAAGTCTGGGGGGGGGAACATGTGTATAGGTGAAATTATTGCAAATGGGCTGAAGGTGAAGTGTTCGGGAACGCTTGGGCCATTTGGAGTAGTAGTGGTGTTTGCAGGAGTCACTTCGTTCGCGTACCATCTGGCGTTGTGGGCTGCGCTCTGCTATACTTGTCGCTACTGCTATTTTGATATCCTATATTTGTTTGACCACTTCTGCCAGCTTTCTATACTCTTGGGACAGTATACTCGTGGTCCTGACTAATGGGACAGTATTAAACTCCATAAAGAACCAAAATGCTCAGCAGCGTAAACTCGCTTGACTTGATTTTTTCTACGTTTGGCATGAAAATAGGTGGGGCATTAGAACACGAAAGTCCTATTTTGGCTAACTTATTGCACTTTCCACACACGCCTTTAAGCACTGCGGGTCAGTCACTCGTGCGCATTAGGTCACGAGAACTGTGTTGACGGTTAGTCCAACCCCGGTAACTATATCTTGATGATCGTTTCTGCCCCACGGTCAGTTTGCCGAGACAGGTGGCTGTCGCACTTCCTCTCTCTGTCGTGCGCAGATTGTCGGATTCGGCGATCGGTCGTGTAGCGGTTGTTCCCCCCCCTACACACACACACGAAGACGCGGCATGTATTGACCGGATCGCATTACGCGACGATGCAAGCGTGGCGCTGACAAGCGTCCCTAAGTGTCTCGGACGCGATGTTTAGTGGATGAGCGACACAAAATGTACCGCAGCTTTGTTGTGCTGCAGCCTGCAGATATGGTTGCATAGTCGTCTAGGAGTTCTCAGCTTCTAACGAATGAGATCAAAAATATCTCCAAACAGCTCAGGAGTAGTGCAACTGCACGCAAGGAATGTACCAAGACTGTAAACTGGAGCAACAGTATGATCCACACAACTTAAGTCCAAGAGGTGGGAAGCATCACGCAGCGCTCGTCGAACTGGTTGGAAAGAGAGCACACACAAGAATATGTGAGGAGAATTGGAATGAAAATCGCGGGTGAAGTCAGGGCCGAGATAGAGTGCGGTCGTGTGATCAGCATTTACTTCCAAAAGCACTGTGAAGTCGACAGCCCCAGCTTTTGCTGATACACCTAAGACGACAAATGTTGGGGCGATGTTGCACTGATGCTCGGATCGCCGGGTCTCAAAGTCTACGCCCTACTTTCCTGGAAGATCCCTGGGTGCAACGTGATATCCTATCCATAATATGCACCAGTGTTCCGGAATCAAGGTCAAATTCGCTGAAAAGGAAGTATTTGGTACAGGACTGTAGTGGATGCGCTACCTAATCACAAATACCTACCCTACTCTGGTTGTAGACCATATACTCTCAAAGATCCGAAAACGAACCGGTTTTCGAAACATTTCATAGTCTGAAGATTACCTTTTTAAGCTTTCAGTACCACGTAGTTCGATACTTGATTTCGTTACTTCATACATTGTCCCCATCGGCTGTACTACACTCCTGTTACCTTCGTGAACTGCTTCAGAACGTAGGATCAATAAAGCGATTTACTAGATAGTTGTTTATCCAGAGATTCCCTCGTTGATTTCGATGTTTCTAAACATCTTGACACCTGCAGTGGCTTTTACTCCTAGGCCCTTGATGACTGACTTCATTCACTTCACAATATCTTTCTAAAAACGCAGTCTCCTCCTTTGCGTTCAGAATTTATAGCTTTATTTTCTCACAATTCATATGGTATCGTAACATCGTACTAACTTGTCTACCACATTTACTTGTCGACCCAACGCGTTTCGCGAGTGATTATTGAAGTGACAATTGTGTATGCTTTAGTTTACTGCCTAGTTCTGTATTCTCCTTTCAGCACACATGTAGCGTGATAAAGCGTCTGGCTTGTAATTCACAGGTCACCGATTCGAATCTGCGTGGGTACGCGACACCTCGCGCGCCGGCGTAATGCTGATGCCCTAATGGTACCACTAACCTAAAGAGTGTGGAAAATCGGACAGTCATCGAATTCTCCGGTGTCAGAAAGCAGTCATTCTACATATATATTTCCAAAATCGTGCCACCCAAAGTCGCTCTGCACATTTCGGGTTGTTTTCATTTTAGGGAGAAAAACAGAAAAACCTCACGGATGTCACACGTTTCCAACTCAGTGTTCCTACCATGGAATATCATAATTGCGTTTGGACCTGGCTGGATTTTACCATGGAAGTGAAAGCTCGCATCCGAAAACAGCTGATGCGGGAGGTCAGTTCATTTATTCATTTGTATATCTGATATCAGATATGCGCAAACACAAACCGCACCGGTGCAATAATGTCTTGCTTAGAGGAAGTTGCTCAAGTTGCGTCGACCTAGTCGCGTTCCATATATATCCACCCACCACTTGTCGAGGAGAGCTTTGTTTTGTCTATCAGTGGTTAGGTTGCGTGACCTGGAAAGTAAGTCGTCAACCACCAAGTTCAATGCTGTTAGTCTGATTCGCTTATGCGATCACTCTAAGTAGATAAGTGAAACTGTTTATTCGCAAGATTTCGCAAGGTACACTGACTCGAGACCTTACTAGACATGGCCGGCACCAATGGCGTGTCTGCTATTATTTCCTGCTGCGGGTGGCTGTGCACTTCCGCGGAGTAGTTATTTTTAACGGGAAATATTGAAACCCAAGGAGAAACTGTTTCTCCAGTTCCACCTTAGCTCCGTACAATATAAGGCTATCCGCGACAAATCGGCGTTCCTTTGATATTAAATCCTTCAGTAGAACCTCACTATCCTGTTTTCTTACTTCATATCCACAGAGCTGTCTCTAATTTATAGTCATACAGCAACAAGATATCAGTATCAAATGTTGATGTATAATAGGAGTAACTTCTAAGGAATACGGTTAAATCGATAATTCCTGAAGTAGAGGCTGTTGGTCCTGCAATAACACTTCGAATATCCAAAGTCTGCAGCACCACTCTACATTGGGTCTTTCAGTAGAAGTACACTATAAAATTACTCAGCGGACGACACTGGTTGTGATTTTACTGTGCCTCTGAAGCGCAGACAAGATAGCAGCGTCCCATTTCATCTACACGTACCATATTCGAGCGTGTTAGTAGCCAAGATGCCGCACGTGATCCAGTGACCGTCATCCATGTGCGTCTGCAAAATGCATTATTACCCTCGATTTATAGGCTCCTGGATAAGGCTGCATAATGTTGCTCACCTGAAAATGCGGATCAGGTCGTGATAGAGTGACTGCTTGCGCAGCAACCGTTCTCTTTATACAAATCCCTGGTAGGGTTGCATAGTAGTAGGACGCGTTGTTTTGCCGATCTAAAGCGCCAAGAAAGAACAATACTAAACAAAAGTGTCTTGCTGTAGTATACAAATAACGTGTCGTTTTCGTGCTAACCAGACTTTGGTTGAGACCCAGTTCGAGCTCCACTTTTCAGTGAACTACGTGAAGTCGCGTTCGCCTCGCGTCTACAATGATTCCGACTCCGTGGCTCGCAGTATTTACGTTATGGAATCGTCACTAGCAGACATATTCTGGATTCCAGTGAACGGTTCCCCTTTGTATTTGTAAATAGAAGATTAGGTATCTATTCTTGCTCAATCTTTCCTTGGTAGGAGTGCAATTCATGTGGTCCTAAAACCCGATCTGTACGTCAATATACGATTAAGTTTTCTTTTCCAGGTGATCAGAAAAAAATTCACCCCTCGACGTAGAGGTCAGTTCGGATATTTAGACCATTCCTCCAGTGAAAAAGTTTTGTCAACTGCATCTGCAGATCCATGTTCATTCCTCCCCGGCACGGAGCTCATCGATCGCACGCCAATGGCAGTGGTAAACCAAGAAGAACGGATGTGCCGCGAGGTTGAAATGCTCCTCGGACGCCATGCGCAGTTGGTAAGATTCTAAAATGATAAATATACCTCATCGTTAGAGTGGTGACAGCCCGCTACTGAACACCTAGGTCCGGTGCCAGCCGTTTCCGGAAAGCCATATTCTCGGTTCGTAATTTCTCCTCTCCCACTCAATTCTATCAAATATCCTGTCTCGGGTTACCATAGAACAGTTGGAGAGGATACTGTTTAACATTCTTGTACCCTCAAAACGCAATGGGTTGCCGATTGCACTGATCATTATCGAATTTCGAAAAACAAAATCCAACGATGTATTTCGAACATGGTCAATTACTATTGGTCTTCATAATATTGAAAGATGTCATCGCCCTGAACACGAAAACATGAACGGTTCTCGTCTAATAAATTTCCGTGTGCCTGGAACCTTTGGAAGTTTTTTATAAGCTCGCACTGGTTATAGCTGGAGGAGCTAGGTAATTGAGCTCTAAATTTACTTTGTGGGCAACAGTGAGATATTGCAGTCCTCCGCGAGGCCCTCGGTCTCAACGAGCGTCCAAGGTTACGCTTCGGATGTTAGATGACTTGGTCCATATCCATCTCCGTTATGTGTGGCGTAGCTGTTTAACCTTGTTGATTCGCGTAGAGAGTAAACTTAGGGCAGAGTAAAGAATCCACCTTTAATTAGTGGGCTTGTTATGCGAAAACGTACTCACTTCCGAGGATTCGTCATCCGGTCAATCACAAAAGAATAAGATTTTTGTTACATCTTGTTCCACCTGGGGTTTCCACTGGCGTAGCGGTTTTGAAGAACAAAAGCGGCTAAAATTTGTGTTCTTTTTTATATCATGATCCTCATGATACATGAGGTGGCGCGAACTTCTCATCGATTATCGTAGTGCTGTTGTGTTCTCGCAAATCAATGGCCGTTCAAAGTGCCAACCAACGCACACGCGAAAAAAAATTTGAGTATGATCGACGCAAGCGAAAATCCAAGATGAGCTGTCCTGTATACGCTGTCTTATCACCTAACTTCATGCTTTAGGTCCTAGGTGGCTATTCTATTTAGCATTAAGCTATGTGATAATCTTCATCACCGGAAGACACCTGTGCATCCTTGAAAGTGATTGCGCGTATATTAAAGACTTGTTAGAATCGCTATGCCCTCTAACTGGACGGTTACTGTTCACAGTATGGGAGCTTTGAAATTAATCTTTGGTTTATAGCTGGTGTACCAACAACAACAGTGCACAGCGTGCTTTGATTATCGTTTTCGCATGTTCTATGTTAGGATCACGTCCTGAAGCCGCTAAGCCAATACAATGACCACACCTAAATTTCTCTGTCATCATCATCCACCAACCCATAATAAAATTGCACTCATCTTTCACTCTTTTCCTATTTTAGCAACCTCCTCGCCCCAACTTGTGGAATCGATTCCGACCAAATCGTTGACTCATCTCTTTGCATATTACATGGATGCTTGTTAACACTGCATCAGTATTTCAGTTTAATTTTTAACTTGATCAAACTAACTTTGAAATTGAAATGCAATATCTCCCTAGTCCTTCTCGGCGTACATTAGCCGACAGACTACTTGGGCTCTCTATCGTAAGCAACATGACGTACTGCATGCAGCGAGGAACAGTTGAAGGCCCGTGAGTATCCAAGTCTTCCTGTTGTGTCTCAGTATCGAGCTGCTCTCTTAGTACTGCCCAACCAACGTTGTTTGGTTGAACACCTACTCTTCGCCGCTTCTCATCTGTTATAACAAACCTAGGAAAACGCTAATCCATTCATTCGATTTTCAAGCATCGGAAATGTGGGCGCAACGGAGCGGGATAAACTGCCCGAGCAACCGAATGATTATGGTTGGTGCTCAGCAGTCGCGTTTCTGCAGAGGCGCTGAACACCAGTTTCTATCATTGACAACCTATAATGATATTAAGACGATCAGCAACGGATTCCTCTTTGTTGGGAACGATCTTATGAGTCAGCAGTTTTGTACGTACATCAATGTTGAGATGTGATCAACGACTTGCACTTGACGTAGCGTTACTTTGGTGTAATTCCACGGCCTCCAAGTATCCTGATGGCACTGTCGCCAAAACTCCGAGGAAGAGATGCTTACTTAAGAGAGGGTGACGAGGGGTTGGCCAATGCCAGTATACAACAACGATATATGTATTTCCATTCCATCGGACGCAAGTCGTAATGGGCGGGAGAGCGCGTCCAGCTCAGGAACGATAATTTCTCATCACAAGTGGACCAAGAAATGGAAAACACAAAACTAAAGGAAAATAAAGGGATTTCACAAAATCGTCACTGTTATACTACAAATCGGAGTATGGAAGGTCTCGTTCCACTTCCGATTAACTCACGCCGACGCACTGAGGAGAGCAGTGGGTTGTGGGAGCATAGAATCAGTCAGTTCAAACCTTTTGTCTTCAGTGTACCAGCCCAGGAGCCGGAGCCGGGTGCTTTCTTAAGACGCAAAACAACAATATTGTTCTTTATCTAACAAAAGCACAAAAGTGATAGATTAAAGTAGGAAGATGTGAATGATAGGGTCTAAATTCATTGCACGTCTCTGCGTCACTTTTCACTTCATTCTACGATAACACAGGAACTAGTCCAAAGCATCAAAACCCACATGAATATAATTGACGAATCGGCTGATTGTGCACAAATCCTCACGCAAACAACACGTTTACCTACCGGAACCAGAGTACACAGTTAATCTCGCTTCACATACAGTCAGTCATTAGTAAGGAATGGGTTGGTGAATCAAACAAAGACCCATGATGACGTTAGCAAATACATACTACCGAAACATACTTCGTAACGACAGAGCGTAGGGGAGATTTTCGTGGGAAACTGCTGTACACGGTAATCATACGTTTGCGTTGGATTGACGAGTGAGCACCGAACGTTCATCGTCCTAAGAATCAGAAAGAGAAAATGGCAGAAGAAAACTAACATAACGTAAGGGGGCGACACATTAAATAAAAATACCTATCATGTGGTCACGAGATGGTGTGAAAAGCACAAACGTAGGAGGGCATGGCAACAAAACTAGTGGATAGGGAGATGTCGAGATGATCAGAAAAAGCAGGATGCTAAGGGATGCATTGCGCGATACAAAATGTTTACACCCGATTAACCTATAGACTTCCTTCCGAAAATGACACCTCGTAACTGAGGGGCTGCGAGTACACATCTTCGTTTCCGTGGCTCGTCCATGCGGGAGAGAAACTACGTCAGCAACCGAATGCAAATCTCATCTTACTGCATTCATGTAGACAATCATCAGTTTCAAATTCATGGAAGACACTTGGAACCGATCGAGTAGTTATGAGTTCAGAGGTTTAGAAACAATCGGTTTTTATAGTAGTTCGGTAACGTTTCGCTCTTGACACAACAGCTTCGTCAGACTAGGTGAATCAGTGTGCAATTGGAGTGGGATTTTATAGCGACCAGGAGCGATAATCGCGTTACCCGAAACTTGAGCCAAGGTGTCGTTACAGTCACAGTTCGTGATGTCAGCTCAGGTGGTTCAATCACAGTGGAAATAGTTCGCGTGTTCCTTTGTACGTCATGGCATTGACGGATAAGCCCATAGCGTTGACAATCGAAGTCGGTTTGTACTTTCCTATCTGATCTACGCACCGATGCTCATCAGGCTGGCCGGCTTAAGATCGCTCCCCACGCACTAGAGAGTTCTACTCCCTCCATTCTATTCACGCAGTCGTCAGATTTGGCAATTTCAACCGCTGAGGCGTTGGTCGTATACCCCTCCGAGTCACCTCTACGCTTTCCAAGTCTATCTGGTGACCCATGTCAAATGCATGCACAGCCACGGCCAACTATCTTACTATAGCCTGGTATTCAAACTCGTTTCTTGGTGGTCTTGAAATGTGCTTCCTGTGCTCTAAAATTCGTGTGCCTAATTCTCTTGTTGTTTGGCCTATGTACACATGTGCACAGTCCTTACCTTTAATTTTATAAACACAGTTAGTCGTCCTATCCTTGGGAAGGGGATCCTTCAGATGTATCAGCGCCGAACGTAGCGTCCGACCTCGGTGAAACATCACCCTTGTATTTTCCTTGTTTAGTACCCTCCGAAGCGACTTTCTTATACGAAATTCCTACCGTCCCTATCCAATCGGTTGTGGGTCTTGACTGTCGGTTTAGCACTTTATGCAATTGGCGTTTGACTAGCTGCCGTGGGTAACCACTTCCTAATAGTTTGCCCATTGCCACTTTCCGCGCAGCCTTTTTGTCCTGCTCCATCGCGCCCAGCATTTGTGCTTTGCAGAACTACGCTAAGTATCCCAGCGTAAACCTGTTTCGGATGACCCGAAGTGTAGTGGAGTACGCCGTCAGTATCTGTTGGCTTGCGATATATTGTCGTCTTTAAATTTCCCCCATTCCTGTGAACCAGACAGTCAAGAAATGGTGTTGTACCGCTACAAGATGGGCACGACAGAAAGTCGCCATCTCCAGAGACCAATTCGCAAATCGTGGGAAAGCGCTCACACAGTCGATTTCATAAAATGCCAAAGGCTATCCAGAAATCCCTAGTGAGGAGTTATGGTGCTACTTTGAACAATGAATTCTGCGGATCATACCACTTCGTTTTGGCGCATGCATAAGTAGCTTCGGAAATGAAGTACACAATGAATAAGAGCACATTGAGTAAACGGCTAACATCGCTGATAGTCAAACACTCAACCCACCATTCATCCAGTTCCACTTCGAGACTGCCGTTGCCCAATAGCTCGAGGACGCGAGCGCGTGCCATGCTGCTTCCGTCCCCACAAAATTGCCCCGAACAATGTGGAACAAACAAACCGGCGAGACCCCGTCGAGGTGCCCGCAGTCCATCCATTACTAGGGACACTCGGATATCCGACTCGCTGACCTCATCTGCCGTGACAGTGGGGATCGATGCCTGAACAGATGAAATCACAAGATAGTGTTAACGTGAAGCCACAAGGAGCGGTACACACGAATCCTCTCTAGGAGTCCGTTGTTTAGTTTGCATGTCGTATGCGCATGTTACAATACTCACCTGGATAATAACGTACAACAAATGCATGAAGCCTTGAAATGCGAATATAAAGAATGACAGGCTTTAGGCTGTCATGATGAGATCGAAGCTTAATGCAGTCGGGACAGATTGCGTAACCATTTGGCCCACTAAACTATGATGAGTGACGCCCTCCGGTCAATAGCTAAGGTTTCAGTACAGTTCAGCTGAACAACTATGACCCGAGCACTGAAGTGCGGTGGATGCAGTTGTAACGACCCGAATCACAAGAATAATAACTGGTAACTACGGCAAGATAGTGGGGTTGGATGCAAATAGAATGTAAACAAGATGAAAGTAAAAAGGAAATGCGTCAAACCAACAAGAATGGAACGAAAATTAACAAGCAGATGCAAGAACTGCACTGACTGCGTCATGTTTTATACGGTCCCCTACCACTGGTGTGGACCATTCCGGAGCTCGCGTCCAGAAAGACGGCCGCACTAGCCTCATCAAGTCTTTCAGTTAATGTTTTCATGCCTGTATGCCATGTCATCGACTGGTCACCTCGCGGTTTCGCCTAACTTGGTGCAACCACAGCGTATAATGCACGCCGAGGAAGCCGGTCAATGGAGGACATGGACTGGCCAACATAAGAGATTAAGACTCAGTAAACACACGAGTGAGGAACCAGAAAATTTCTTGCCAAAAACCAACTGGCGGACCTCGGTGCTCCCACCAGATGTGAGCAATACACCGCAAGCACCGGTGGTCAAACACGACGCGAACTGGCAACCTCACTGACCCATACAGAAGATCGGCAGCGTTACACACCCTATTTTTCACTGACAGGCTGATATCCCGCTGTCTCCATAGATGGTTGAGTTTCTGGAAAATCACACGGGCCTTGTTGAGACCCGAAGTAACTCCCTCAGTGGTCTGACCATCTGAGGTGACACAGCTACCAAGCTAAATGAACCGATCCACCACTTCCAATGGCTGTTCGGTGGAAGCTAGAACCGGATCTGTATTGGTCCAGTCCTGCAGCAGTACTTCGCACTCTGAAGGTGCAAAGCACATGACGAAGCGTGCAGCACTAAAGGTTCCACGAACTCAGCTCGCTAGCTCTCCAGATTCGGAGTTGGAATTGGAGTGATATCCGTTTATGGAAAACCGAACCGTGAGCATTTTCCCACTACCCTGCGGTTCGACTTGTGAGTTAGACTCAGGTTGCGTCTTAGCAACATCCCGACCCACGCACAAGTATCGATCTAATATCAACTCTCAGACACATCCTACATCGGCCGTCCGCGCCTTCTGCATACAACGGAATGGGTAAGCGAAAACATTCTGTGGTGATGCTTCTCTCTCTGCCTACTTTTCTTACACTCCTCCAGACTCTCATTGCCAACTCACCTGACCAATCCCCAGTTTACGGGTTATGTCGTACGAAGATAGCTGCAGACGAATGGGTCTGTACACCCTGTCGTATCGTCGGTTTAGAGTCGACCCCATTACGACGCACTGGATATTGCATCTCGGTCACTTCCTCAGGTTGAGGCCGATGCTTCACGTGCGCGCACCAATCTGCACTCGCGGGCATCGGTACTAACTTGTGGTACCGGACCTAAAGATGCTAATTCACCCTCTATGCTTCGATCGTCGAGTGGTAAAATACTGAAACGGTTAGCCCGAGGAAATAGTCGAGGCGAAGTCGGTTTGGGAATTCAAGAAATTTCTAGACTACAACTTCGCGAAGTTCAGATTCAGGGAGCGCATTGCACCCGAATAGCATATGGCGCAGCTGTAATATGCGGCAAACGCGCAGAAATCAGTGGCGTGATTCCGCACACGTGCCCGAACTAACTAGGATGGAGTACGACAGACGTACGTTTACTAGCTCCGTTTTCAATGTTCTCGAGTTTAACTGACGATAGCTACAGTACAACTGTAGTTAAATTCTCGTAGTGACTCGTGCAATAAACAGCCCCTTATCAGGCCACGCTGCCTTGTTTCTCTGGCGTTCAATACTCGTATCCCAAGACAAATAGATAAGCAAGCTTTACTTGCAGTCGCACTGGACACCGAGTATCGACATGTGCTGCGTGTCCGAAATGAGGCCCGACGACCCTCACATTAGTATCGAAATAACTCCACCCAATCAGCCTCCACACTACTGGTAACAAGTATCCAGACACTGGCGCAACAGCTACGGAGTGAGTATCGCTCTAAACTAAAGCAATGAATTGTCTCCATTAGTTGGATTCTCTTGAGCAGCCAGCCAACTGAGTTTAGCGCACAAAGCAGCGCTAGGCAATATCTATTCTATCTACTGTTGCTTATACCTGCACCGATTGTAGCCCTGATGCTCCGAAAGACTTCCTAATACTTACTAATACAGATACCTTCTAGTTGTAGGTATAGGATATGAATGCGCAAAGGTCAGCCAGGCGGGGATTTCTGGTTTAACTCCGAACGCACTAGTTACTGCGGCTAGCTCCTGAAACAGGATGAGCCGGCTTCATGATTGTCGCGGATTGCAGCTGCCCAAGCGCGGCGGTAAGCTTCACGCAGATATTGAACAACTGGTTTCTCCAGTGACGAGAAACATGCACATGGAGTCCCAGAAGATCGACATCCGAGTTCGCTGCAGCTAGCCATTTTGTCCGCCACGGCGACGAAACCAATCCTGGCAAGACGAGTGTGAAACCACGGCCCTAGTGAAGTCAGTGTCTGGTCTGCGGAGGACGTGACTGAACCACTGGAGTCTGCGGCGTTGGATGGGCGCTGAGAGCTTCGGAAGACCGTAACAACGCTTCCGGATTTCGTCATTGGTGATACGCTCATGCCACTGCGTTTTCGAGATAATCCTTAGGCACCAATGGTCGAAGAGTTCCAGCTTCCGGGTGTCCTCGGATCGCATCGACCATGTTTCGTAACCATAAAATGGCACGAATGGTTGCTGAGTATACTCGAATTTTCGTTAGACTAATTTCCGTCCTTCGTCACAATGTTTCTCAGTTGTAAGAAGACTGTTCTACGCTGTCAGTACGATTCCGGATTTCAGATGTAGCCTGACTATTTGAGAGAATAGTGGATCCAAGATACTCGAATTTAGGAACAGACTCGATGAGAAGAGCGACGGGGCGGACTGGGTGGCTGACGATGAGAAGTACTTCGTCTTACTGGTATTAATTTCGGGGCCGATCATGGAGGCTGATTGGTCGACCCAATTTAGCTGTGTCTGTAGTGATATAGGATCTTCTGCAAGGGAAGCGATTTCGTCAGCAAATTCTGGGTCTGACAGCCAGAAAACAGAGCGAATTTGAACACTACGATAGACCTCAAGGGCATGATGCATAACCCAGTCGACTGCGAAGTTGAACAGCACTGGAGAAATTGGGCAAGCCTGTCGGACTCCAGTATTGATGTTGAAGCCCTCTGTTTGTTTTCCATAGACCCGAATCCGGGCCTCCGTGCAACGATAGTGTGATCTTATCAAGTTAACGAATTTAACCGGAACGCCATCGGCAAGCAGGGTTCTCCAGAGTGCTTCACGGTCAATTAAATCAAAAACAGCACGAAAATCAACGAAGCACACTAACGTGAGCTGTTGGAACTGGTAGCGGTGTTCGAGTACCCGACAGAGAGTGAAGATTTGGTCAGTGTAGCCTCTGCCTGGACGAAAGCCACCTTGGTTATGACGAATTCACAGGTTCCTCTCCTCCTCCGAATGTTCCAGGACGTGTTGGGTTTCCGCCAGGCGAGCGTTTCCCCTATAAAAATCCACAAATGTATGGTTAACATCACTGCGGCGTGGCGGATGACTCGTCACTAAATAAGGTCAATGTTCTTTGTCTATACAACTGTTCGCATCCACTTCGCGGATGTCAGCCATCCACCTTGGAGATTTCCATCGATCTCTTCTCACGCTGACAGTCCGATCGAATACCATCACAAATACACCAGCACATCTACAAATCCAAGGTCCCACTTTGTTATACACACATCTACCCGCATGCATGCATATATATATATATATATATATATATATATATATTCATGCTACATAGATTCGATGTTACCAGTAAATTTGTAACGTTTCTGTACATGTACAGACTACTCAAGTGGTTTTTCATGATCATGCCAATGCAGGCGTACCTAGCATCATCGTGAATATACCATATATCTATTCACCTCCCACTTCACCTATGTAAGCAGTATGCAAATCAACGTGCTTATAATGTCTGTTAATTGGCGGCTTAAGTTTGGTGAGTTCGTCGCTTGATGTGGGGCTAGCCATCCTCTGCATGGTAGTAACGTATAAATCAGTGAATAGTGAGCGGCGCGATATCAGTAGTTTAATCAAGGCGGTCGTTACCGCCCACCGTAACTTAGTGATCTCAACCACAGGCTGGCTAAAGTCGAGTTGCAAGTTCGAGCTCCACAGGGGTCAGAGAGAGTGCGTGCTGTGACGATTCCCGAAAGGATGAAACGGCCATACAGTGCTCTTTCGCGTGTGTAATGGCTGTGGAACCGAGTTTAGACGCAAAGAATCTCTACTTACACCATTCATCTCCCCGTACTACTTACTCCTTTGTAGACCGAGTGGACTCAAATGGTTCGGGAAATGGAGTAGGAGCAGAGGATAAATATTGCAAACTCTTCCAGCTGATCCGCTTCAATGGCCCCAGGTACTTATGTATTCGTGAGTCACACAAGAAAAACACCGGTGCACTATATAGCCATGTGGAACGCCGTCTAGCCCGCTGGGTGGAGCTAATCAGTTAGCCTACTTTTCCTGAACACTTTCCTGTTCAGGTATTACAGATCGAAATATAACCCGTCAGTTTAGAAACCTCCTCGGACGCTGATGATCAGAACGGGAGCACACTCCCTACTCGTCATCGCACTGTGATTCCGGATTCTCTTACACTTGTGCTACTAAAGAATTGCAGTGAGATCCTCTGGAAAACACTAACACACATGTTCCAGTAGGCAGGGGAAGGTGAACCCACCCCTGCCAATTGGAGTGAATCGGTCATAATGACAATATACAAAGGTAGTTACACAGTCTGTGCTAATCATAGAAATATCAGCCTGACGCTGGTAGTGACAAAGTTACTTGCTTCAACTCTCGTCCCTCGATTTGCTGTGGAACTTGTATTCAGGTTGAGAGAACGGGGCTGTACTGACCACATATTCGCTTTGAGGCAGGATCTAAGACAGCGTCACACGTGCTGAAGGTCGACTAAAGCCGCACTCCTCGATTTCAAGATTGAGTTCGAGATAGTCGATCAACCCATTCGTTTGGTGTGGTTGCTCTGAAGCCTGATGCAAGCATTATACGTGCTTTGTGCTCGAACACTACAGGTTCATTCAGAGTATACGGGGAAGTATCAGATGCCTTTCCGATAACATGTGGCGTTTGCCAACTTTATGCATACGAAAAAAAACAACCCGATGAGCAAAGAACGTATAAACGGGACACATTAACGCGATAGTGGCGCCACGAATTGCATTTGGCAGCCTAGAGTTGACGCGGCCAATGCTCTGGTCGATGGACTTGTGAGGCCTCGGCTTGATTCCGAGTTATTTCCAACTGGGACAATTAAGCATGAGACCGTCGAAATCGCTGCATCGTGTAAAAGTGATTACACCCTTCAGGTGAAGAGGTCACGATGAAAGACGAAGCACAAACAGAAGGCGCCCAACAAGCAGGCATGTGGAAAACAATATCCCCAAGCCGGGGGCTGCGATTTTCTATTGGCTAACGCAATTCTGTACAAATACATAAATATGGCGTAAAAATGTTTAAACTAGTTCACCAATAAAGTTGGGTGTGGGAACACTGAACTGGAAAAGGCCTAGGTATTGAAGAGGAGTGAAGTAGCAACGAGCCGGGTGGATTACTGTCAAGTATCTTCCAGCTCTTGTGAAGAAGCTCTGGCGAACCAGTAGAGTGAAGCAAGCTCCAACCAGTTTTCGCAGGAAGGAATAGCCCAGAACCCTTTTGAATTCGTTCTGCAGCCGAGAGAGTGCCCGCGAAGTGATAGCAATACGAAAGGGAAGGCAAGTTAGTAGATTTGGAGATCTGTAACACGATCACAGAACCTTCAGGAGCCAATAAGGCCAGGAAACCATCATCGGTAGCAACTGATGCGGGTTGTACAATAATATCCAAAATCTAAAAGAGAAAGGATGAAATATTGAATAGTGATGCACAATACAGATGTGGGTAGAAAAATAGGACATGATAAAATTTACGGAAGATTTCTGTGGACTGAACGAGCAGGGTCCATCAAGCCCGCCTGGGCGATAACTATGGTACTATTTTCGTCGATGGTACATGTAGTGGATGATAGGTCGACAACTTGGTGAAAACAAGTATCCCTGTTTATAGTGATGGTGGCAGGAAGCTCAAGGAATCCGGCAAACATACGCACGTCTGGCGCAACCAATCAAGCTAGGTGGAGTGCAAAATCGATATAAACTGGCAACAAAGATTATACCGTCAGCAGCCTAGTCTTGATCCAAGCCAGTTAGTGACACTACGAGTATGCCGGAAGCCAAGCATGTTGAGAATGTTTCTGAGCCGCTTCTCTCTCCACCTACTTGGATACCCCTGACCAACCGATATTGATTCAGCGGTTCGATGTTGCATAAAAGCTTTACAGATGTGGAGGGCTATTTATGTGTAAGTTGTATATACCACCAACATAGGGGCCAACCTAATCGAAGAGAACCATTTTATTAACATATTCAACTGTGTCAGCACTTATTTTATTCTATCAAGTTATTGGCGGGGATTTCAATTCACCTGAAGCTTGTTGGCCAAACTTGGTAATAAATAGGAAGCACGCTGAATTCACAACCTCTTCGATCAATGGTGGGTGGGAGCAGCATGCTCTCGTGTTCATCAGAGGAAAGAATATATAACAGCCACGTTATGGACAAGCACTAACATAGTAGCTAATCTCTCTGGATGTATCACAAGATAGTTAGCTGCAAAATTGTCCTTAAACCCTCGCATGTGCGTTCGGTGATGGCTCCACACTCACGCGAAATGTCAACTGGGAAACCTCTGCCTAGGTTTCAAACTTGGGACCTATTCTTTACATTCAGAGCTTTTATATCTTCTATGGCAGTGTATTCGAACTAAGGTGTGCTTGCTACAAATGACAGCATAGTACGTAAAAGATTCACCTCTAAGAACGCTGTCAACAAAAAGTAGAAGTGGAAAATGCGGATTTTAACTCGAATCTATGAGAAAACTCGCGATTTCTGCATTTAGCGATAGAAATTGCTGCGAAAATTCATACCCGACTCAATGCCGGCATTTTTAATCCCTACTTACTAGCGGGGGTTACAAACCGGACTTTTCTTTACATATCCACGCCGAATGCTACGGCTGTGACGCCTTCAGTGCGTATTGTGCTGAATCCTTTAACATTGCACCGAAACCCCTGGAATTAGCAACCTCGATGTAGGTCTCCAAGCAAATCTCAGTATCTGTGACAAAACGTATGATTATTTTTCTACGACCACCCGATAGCCTTGACGCTGATGGTTATACCATGACACAAATCCGGGTCAATATACGGCATAACAAATTCACTTCTGTCTTGGATCCAATCATATCTAGTTGGATAATTGCAGACTGTTGCTATAAATAGGAGCATCCCTGCATCCCAGTGGAGTGGTGCAGTGTAGCGTTTTAGGCTCCTTACTTTCTATTGTAAATAAGTGACTTCACCTCCATTATCCGATTTGGTAAACTATATCTGTTCGCAGATGACCAAAAGGCTATTTACACATTCTCGACTCCGAAGTATACGGCCGCAATAGCTAATGTCCAAAGCGATCTAAAAAAACACTCGAGAGGTGGGCTGCAATGTGGTAAATAACGTTCTCAACGTCTGACTGTAATGTCTTGATAAATGGGTGTCACGTAGAGGCAGGATTAGTCAGGATTTATGACGAGGCTATTTCCAGTAGCCACTTTGTCGGTGACAAATTTGAGATATTCCAGTTCGCTAATTTTTGGAAAACATACAAATTGTACTGTAACGAAGGCCAAGAAATCGGTTGGGCTTATGTGTTAATTACTAACTTTGAGCGAAGCCAGATTTTTGGTCTATTACTGCTGTGCAACATTCAACAAAATGCGTAAATGTGATTTGAGGGCCATTGAAAACGTTCATTGCGTCTTCATAAACCGTATCTTTGGCTATTTAACCGCGCTTTTATTAGAAACAAACGCACGAAACTGAATCTTGAGTATTTAAACCTGTTTCCTTCATGAACTCGTTTGGCGAAAAGCATACAGGGAAAGCTACACCTTGCCAACTCGAATAAAAAACAAAAACGGTATGCGAGAAACCGAATGTGTAGTCACATTGTCCAGATGCAGAACAACTCTAATCAAAATATTTTCGCTTTTTAGATACGGCACTATATGGAGAGATGTGCTAATATCTGAGCATGCTCAAGGAAATAGTTAAAGTTCATTTGTCAAAGAGTGAAACAAACTTTAAGCACTAAAAACTGACGATAAAAGGTGTTTGATACAACACCAATCACACCTATGTCGGCATGAGTCCCTTAACATCGTCGCCTCTCCGCTAACTGGTTTGCTAAGAGAGGCTGTTGCCGCCGTTCGCATGGATAACTCGCCGTTTAATTGATTCAAAGTAGGAACCTCAGGCTCATAAGAGTCGTTAGCTATGGATGTGAACGAGCAATTTATATCAAGAAGTTCAGCTTGCCAAACGTGCTTTAATTTCAGTTGCAACAAAAAACATCCATGGTACGCTGGTACGACGTGCCGATGCTTTCCTGCCATGCGACCACCCACAGACGCGTGGACTGGTTATACCGCGAGGTCGCCCGCGCGTATGTGGTCTCGAACCGGCGACCTCTGGATTACAAGGCAAGCGTGTAATCCTTTGGACCACCGGCTGACTGTTTGTTCCCCATGTTCCCACAAACCAGAACAAGTCACATCGAGCACCGACTGCGTGGAACATCGAAAAACCCGGACAAAGCGCTTGCGTGCCGGCACGATCTACCTAGTCTCATGCACCGACGTTATTCTTCTTGGAATCGATTGGACTGAAAAGCCGAACTTACTCAATGTACCACTGAATCGTGTCTGGGCTGATATGAATGTCACGGTGCACAATACCGCCATACCGACTCGTCCTGGTCAAAGCATCTCTACACAGCTTCAAACGAAGTATGCGTGTCTTTCAGTCGGAACTTGGAGACTGTAAGAAAATGCAGGCAAAACTTACTCTGCTCCCGGATGCCAGACCAGTGTTTCGACCCAAGCATGCTGTCCCTTATGCTTCCCAAGCACTTGATCGATTGCAGAAGGCCAGAGTGATCGAGCGAGTCAATTTCTCACCGTGGGCTGCGCCTATTGTTGTGATCAGAAAACCGAACGGTTCTATTCGTTTGTGTGCAGATTTTTCAACGGGCCTGAATGCTGCACTGGAACCCCATCAGTATCCACTCCCACTCCCTAAGTACATGTTCGCAAAACTGAACGGAGGCAAGTATTTTGCTACTCTTGATCATGCAGACGCCAATTTGCAGTTAGAAATTGAACCAGAAAGCAGAAAGCTTCTAACAATCAACACGCATCGCGGTCTCTACCAGTACAACCGTTTGCCATTTGGAGTCAAAACGGCACCGGCCATCTTTAGCAAGTCATGGATGCCATGCTGACGGGCATAACTGGAGCGGCAGCCTACCTGGATGACATCATCGTAATGGGCTCGACGCAAGATGAGTTATTTCAACGATTGAATGACGTGCTACAAAGAATCAAAGATTACGGTTTCCGATTACGAGCGGACAAGTGCATTTTCCTGAAATCAATTAAGTTCCTGGGTTTCGCGCTTAACGATAACGGCCGACGACCCGATCCCGAAAATATCGAGGTGATAGACCGGTTACCGGCGTCATCGGATGTCACAACTTTACGGTCATTCCTTGGGATGGTGAGTCACTATAGAGAGTTTCTACCATGCATGCATCGCTTGCGTCATCCTCTAAACCACCTGCTGATGAAAGACGTCGAATGAATATGGCTGCACATTGTCAACAGTCGTTCGAGCAACTGAAATCTCTGCTGAAGTCGGAATTACTGCTCACTCATTATAACCCGAAGCTGGAGATTATCGTGGCCACGGATAGTTCAAGCCATAGAATTGGTGCTGTCATTTCACATCGTTTTCCAAATGGATCCGAAAAGGCTATAGCACATGTTGCACGAGCACTGACGTCATCTGAGAAGAATTATAGTCAGGTTGAGAAAGAAGCGTTGGCTATCATCTTTGCCGTGCAGAAGTTCCATTTGATGGTATGTGGTCGACGGTTCACATTGGTGACTGATCACAAACCGCTTATGGCAATCTTTGGATCCAAAAAGGGTATTCCGGCATATACGACCAGTCGACTTCAGCGATGGGTAACTCTGCTCTTGGGTTATGATTTCAGCATGCGATACTTGTCTACGGATTCTCTAGGGCAAGCGGACGCCCTTTCCAGATTAATCGATACCGGCAAGCGTGAGTCAGAAGACGCAGTCATTGCCTCCATCGCAGCCGAAACGGATGTCAGCTACATGGTACATGACGCCGTAAGTTACCTCAAAAACACAGTGACGTCTTCACTCCACGACCGCAAGAAAAAGTCCAAAGACGAGCCAGAAAGAGAATTGTATACATGAGATTATATTTGCTTATATAGTGTTGAAAGCAAAATGTAGGGGAGCTATTAAATTACACTTGAGCCAACCAACAGAAGGAAAATGTCAAATGCAACAGTGAATAAGCAACCGCGTACTCAAGAGCGAATCGCATATGTTGTTAAAAATAGCATCATGCGATCCCAAGCCTAAAGTGAACCTCCATTTACAGTGACGGGCACTGGCCAGTCAGAATAACGAAATGTAGCGTTTAAACAAATGTCACGAAACAAACGAGAATAAGAAATGCAGACCCAAAAATTAAGAACTAATACAATACTTGTGTGACAACTAAATATTCCTTTAACATCAACAAGTAGAAAAGTGATGCGGAGAAAAACCAATAGAATGTGTTCTTGCAAATGGCACTGCTGAAGAGGACAAGGAGATGGGCGTCCATTAACAATGACTTGTGTGTACCAATTAGGCTAACACAGTGAAGCGTTTAAACAACAGTCAAGAAGTAGAAAATAGGTAGAGTAAAGAATAGCTATAAAGCTCGTTCGCAAAAGATTAATGTCTAATAGTTGTTCTCCTAATATTATTGATAACTACATCTATTGCCAAACGCGATGAACATGTTACATGATTAATTTGACGGAAGATGGCCGCGATCTCTAATGCGGAACCCAATAAAACCGAGTTTATCCCGAACCTAATCCAGAGATCAAGTGAGATTGTAAACATTATCAAGTGCGACACACAGTATTAGAAGCACCTAAACGAAGGTTACCCGTTAACGATAGATCTCACTGCGTTGTACCGATAACCAGAGAAGTTAGTGCCCATTCCGAATATGGAATGATCTCAATTTAATGGATTGCACCTGGTAGTGCCCATGAACGTTATTGCAAAAAATTAATACTAAAATCTAGATGAATCAGTTGCATATAAATCCGCTTAGAGAAGTTGGAGGGGTTCCGGTGCTGCTCTCTCCCAACATTGACACCACACGTCCGGTCTCGTCCTCGTTTGGGTTCATCTGATAGAGATGGTCTGAAGTAGAAATAGAACTCGAGGCTTAATATTAGGCAGCTGACGCTTTGATCACTAGGCTACTGACATCTATGGGCAGCGCTTGGCACAGTAGTTGGAAATTCAAAGTTGTATTTGGAGTACCCACCGTGTGGTTGGATTACGACACGCAATCTCTATTGGGACTTCAGTTATCCTGATCACTAGGACCGTATCAGATCTGGAGGGGTTGTTTGAATCATTGAACTGATCATTCCCTTCAGGTCACTGTTTAGTAAAAGTAAAAGGCCAGTGGCAGATCGGGCATGTTCGTGATACAAATAGGTGGTTGGGGAACGTGAGGCGAAACACACAGTTCACTTAGATAAGGATCATATTTCAAGTTGTCAATCGATTAACCTTTTCTGTGACACAATGACAGGAACCTAACAATGACGACCAACGAAAACTTTTGGGATAAAACAGGATAGCAGTGTACATTGATACAAACAATAATACGTAAATCGGTTGCCTGAGTGAATGTCAAGCAAGGAAAGGTCAAACTCGATCATGTATAGAACTAGAATCTCTGGTGCGGTTTCAGACATTCACCTTTCAGAACCTAGGCCTCGGGTTCCTGTTGCCTCTTCTTTATAAGTATGGATGCCAGTAGTACTAGGTCAGCGTAAGTCCGCTTGCAGCTGCATTGTAGCGAAACACCGGAACGAAGTACTGGTGTGACGCTGGCACCTCTTTTAACTGCTAAACAACACTATCTTCATGGGCGTAATTTCATGCCTCATAACAGTGGTAAAAGATTCGAGACTAGAGACAGCAGCAATAGTTGAAGAGCAGATAAGATTCATAATCCACAAAATTTACGGGCTATCAGTAATGTGTAAGCATCAGTGTTAATAAGCAGTCTGGTAAAGTGGGACAGTGAATTGCAAAACAGATGTGGACAAGCAGAATTCAAGGTGATTTGTTACATACTAATTTTCAAATAAACTCGGAGCGAGTCCCAACTATTGTGCTGTAGTTAACTGTGGTAGGGAAAGGTGAGAAAATAACTGGGAGGTTACACAAACGCGTGTAATGATAACGAACTCGTTTACGGGAGGGGCAGAAACAAACGAACCTGCATGTTAACAGCACTGAGGCGAGAAGGTGCCCCATTATGGTCGATCCATCTCCGGGCATCAAACGGCGGGAGAACTTCTGTCGTCTGAGTTCCAGAGTGTGGCAGGTTGCGTACATCAAAACTGCGCACGAATCCACTGGATGTACCCACAAGCAGTAGATGCGGAGATAACCAGCTGATGGAACTAAAGTATGTAAGATTAGACTTGAAAACGCAAAAGATCTATACAAGCGGTTCAATAGTCTACTCCAACGCTTCGAAAGCGATTGAGAAAGGGACAGATAGCGATAGGAATGAAGCCACATGGGTAAGAACGGGTTGCAGTCCTACAAACTTTGTGATGCATAAGCATTGATCACTTCTGTGCGAAAAGTAAATGTAGGGTGTTTCTCATCCAGTTAATTGGTTGTTGTCATTCTACGTTTATAACTTCAAGTTAATGGCCAGTATGCACATTCTCTCGCTGCTTACCCATGGGCCAGATAAAATGTAACCGCGTGATTGATAACCGGTTAGAAGTAGACTATACAGTTTCGGAATTCGAATGACTTCTACCGTTAGTCTATAAAACGTCAAGTTCTATTTTCGAGAACAAAGCTGACAGCAAGTGGACGGCGTTGCTATAGTTAGTCCACCCAGAGTATGCCTCTTCGTCACCCACAGTGTATATGGAATCTAATGAGAAATTGGTCGGGTTAGAGTCCAACAGCGGTCACATGGAATGCGTACCGTTGACGTTTCTCGAAAGGATGAGACGGTCGCACAATGCTTTTCCGGGCGTGTGTTGGATTTGACAGAGTTTAGATGTGATGAATTTCTATGTATACCATTCAAATCATTCTGCTACCCCCTTACATTTTCCACCTTTTGATTGTTCTCACCTCTGTTCGATTACTTCACGTAGAAATTACCGTGAAAGTCGCGCAGATTTGACGGTATGCTTTTACCGCCTATTTTGCTAACTACCTGAGCACAAAGAAGCTCACTTCAGAGGGATTCTGGAACTCATAATTGATAATCCCCCCCCCCCACATTCTTCTATCATCCGACATCTTTCGTTTCTGCTCATTCAAAGCTGCATATATAGCTGGCAGGTACACCAAATGACTAAGACGAATACTCCACAAATGCTGTGCGGTAACATGCCCTCTGATGTCTGTTGAACTCGGACCGCCTCTATTTGATAGGTTATGCCCCCCGAAACGTATGTAAGGCAGTTACTACAGCCTGCTCCCGGATTTCTTCCTACTCAGGTGATGCAGCACGAGCCATGGACGGTTAGTTTAGAGCCTCCTTCGGAGGCCTTGGTCCAAAACGCGATCACAGCCCTCAATCGTTTTCGTGCCGCGGGTTCGGATTCCCTCCCACCTGCACTATTTAAGGATGGAGGTGAGGTCGTCTGCAAAGCACTGACCTCCCTACTCGAGCGTATCTGGAACGAAGAGAGTGTGCCGGCTAATTGGAGCGAATCGATTATTGTGGCAATATACAAGAACGGCAGTCGCACAGACTGTTCTAACCACAGGGGTACTAACCTAACGTCAGTTGTGACAAAACTACTGGCCTCGATTCTCGTTCGGCGCCTCACTGGGGACGGGAATCTCGGATTAGAGAAGAGCAGGCCGGTTTCCGCCTAGGACGTGGCTGTATAGACCATATATTCACTTTGCGGCAGGTGCTAGAGTAACGCTATGCATACCGCAGACCGACATAGCTGTTTTCCTAGATTTCAAGAGTCCGTTCGATTCAGTCGATCGATCGATTCTGTTCGAAATACTTGCGCAGAAAGATGTTCCCACGAAATATATGAACATCTTTCGTGCTCTATACTCGGTGGCCTATCGGAAAGCTTCCCGACTACATGTGGCGTTTGTCAGGGTTGTCCGATTACCCATTTCTGTTCAATTTCGTCGTGGAGTGTTTACTTGTGGAATCTCACGATGTAGGCGTTGAAGTGCTGCCTGGTGATCGATTACTTGATTATGCGGACGATATCGTCTTGCTTTTCGACGATGTTGCGGCGGTACACTCAACTCTGACTAGTTTGCGTAGAGTGATCCCATTATTTGGTATGCACTTCGCACCTTCAAAATGCAAAGTGTTGCTGCAGGATCACCTGCCACTTTACGATCCCATGACCCTTGTTAACGAGGAACTCGAGGTGGTTGATCAATTCACTTATCATGTCAGGTGCATCAGCAACGATGGGCGCATAGAAACTGACGTCAGCTCAAGCATTGCAAAGGCCAAATAAGATTAGCACCCAGACCTGCTTTTGCTGAAGAGGTTCCCTTACATGGTTGGCGGCATCCAAATCCGGACTTGCCTGTCGCTGAGACCTCTATGGGAATATGGGTGGCTTGAGCTGCACCACCCACAGTTCCATCCATACAACCCATATCCAGTTTAAACCCGAAGGAAGGGACATGTGGATGGGAAACGCATTACGTCAATACAGCCGGTCCAAACTCCTTCAACATGCACAGCAGCGGCATTCATGCGTAATTGGGAAATCACGCGTACCAGGTGGGGTCTGGGCCGTAATCCGTTCTACGTAGGATGAGCTTAGCACAGTCAAGAGCACGATGCATCCCGTCTCCCTAAGCAATGATCAACTGTCTCTTGAAGCCAGTATAAGTGAGCTAATGGTTTTCGATAGGTAGGCAACTTGTCAAGATTCACGTCAAGCGCAGCCACACCAGGAATATCAGAGTATGAAAAATAATCAAGCAAGATGGACAGTAAATGTGTGGTAGAATGAAAGAATAAAGAAAGTCAAATAAATGAATAATCATCATCATCAATACACGTTGGCTAAGGGTGAGAAACACACCTCGGCTGAAGTGCCACCAAACAAAGTAGATAAGATGTTAAACATTATAGACTACAAAAACTAAAAAACAGGCAATATAACAATAAATATCATATGATGCTTTGTGAATGACATCGTCGTTGGAGGGGCAAACTAAAAAGTATGGGAAGGACAAAGCAACTCAAAACACAAGCAACACTGAGGTCAGCTTTTCGCCAGATCAACAAGTGTATCCAACTAGACGTGCTCATCGACATTCGGACTACAGCTCAGCAGTCGGGAGACCCAACCGACAAAAACTTCGAATCACAATAAGTGTGTGAAATGTCTGATGTAGTGAAACGGTGAACTTGGGGAAATGCAATGGCAATGCAAAAATAAACAAGGAATATGCGGATGAATAACAGAAAAGAGAAAAAAAGGATTCAACAAGATCCGATTTGATGGTAAAATACCGAAAGTTGGTATGTGAAAGATAAGCGCAGGTACACGTACAGAAGAACTGTAGCGATGAAGTATCGCAAGTACTACGCCAACCGCATAACTGGCCTAGACTAGTGTTACAGGGATGACACAGCCCTGTCAAACTCAACGGAGCTCACCGGCGCCAGTGCACTATCGGACCCGAACAATCCAGTCGCCATGCAGAGACCCAAACTACTCAGTTCAGTGTGGAACTCTCCCTAAGGAAACTGTCGCCAATAGTCCACTCGCCTGCACAGATCACAAAGGAGTTGTTCGCAGTGAGAACGCGGGCAACGTATCCTGCAACTTTTCCGCTGAACTCACCCCAGTCTTCCCATCGTATGTACATATAATATAAGGCTTTGTCTGAGGACCCGAGCCGTTCCCCTGTAAGGTGTGGGCGCCCTGTTAGTATCCTAGTCCATCCTCTTCAGAGGTTAAGGAGTGGTCGATGGTCTTCTTCCTGTAAAACCTAGTTATGAAAGACAACAGGTCTACGGGTTATAAGCTTACAGCTCGATTTCCGCAGAGCACGAGCGCTACGCATTGTCGCTGGCGGTGGGAAGGCACCTCCCGGTGTTCAATTGTTTGCTACTGCCCACCGCAAGCAGGCAGCCCCTAAACAAATTAATGCAAACCCGCTAAAACCCACCAGCGTCTGGCCGTGGTAGTAGGTGTATCCCAGTACGGTCGCAAAACATATATGGATCGCTCCAGTACCTCTAACGCTGCGTGTGACGGTCGTCAAGCAGATCCCACTCCCTCTTTGCAATCACATTTCCGAGCTAGATCTGCTCATCACTGCCTTGTGGGTCAGGGTATTGGGCCAAGGGCTCCAGGTGGAATCCCTCATGCAAACCTCCGAAGCACAACGACAAAGTCGCGCGCGACTGCTCACCAAGGCAATCGTATGCCTGCGCGCAAAGCACTCAGTATGGGGTGCTGGAACGTGCGGACAGTATTGGACCGAAACTCCAGCGAGCGCCCGGAGCGATGCACTGCACTGGTCGCAATGGAGCTGGCGCGTTACCACATTGATATTGCAGCGCTCAGTGAAACCCGGCTCACTGAGCCAGGTAAGTTGCATGAATCTGGTGCCGGCTACACATTCTACGAGGTGGGCAACGCCGCCTCAGCACCACCTCAACATGGGGTCGGATTTGCAATATCCGAACATCTCCATGTCCAGCTGGTGAATGAACCAACGGGCATCAGCGCGCGACTGATGACTGTTCGCCTACGACTCGGAAGAGGTATGTTTGCCACATTTATAAGCACGTACCGTCCGACCATGTGATTTTTGACGACACGCATGATGAATTCCACACTGAGCTATCCTCCGTGATGCGGTCTGTGCCGAGGAGTGACCGACTATTTCTGCTGGGTGATTTCAACGCGCGCGTTGGGCGTGATGCATCAGCATGAACAGATGTTATCGGTGCGCATGGCATCGGTTCAGCAAATGCGAACGGTGACAGGCCGCACTCACCGTGTGCCACTCAAGACCCGACGGCCACGAACACTCGATTTGCACTGCGTGCGAGTGATATAGCAACTTGGACGCACCCACGGAGTAGTCACGCTCACCTGCTCGACTATGTCATCGTACGTCAGCGTGATATGCGTGAAGCGCGCATCACACGTGTACTGCGTGGAGCTGGTTATGGTACTGATCACAAATTAGTGCGCACCAAACTGTACATATATTTTAGTAAATCGATGTATTGCACTCCCGCCGTGAATCGGCGTAAATTTAACATTCTCTCCCTCGGAACTGTGGCGAAACGTACTGAGCTAGAGAAGGCGATGGCTGCGCGCCTGTGTGGTGATGTGGACTGCATGGCCACAGTGGGCGACCTGTGGCACCACATTCGCGACCAGGTGAGAGCTGCTACCGAGAAGACCATCAAACGCGCAAACAATAAGCGGCCTGATTGGTTTGATGGGAAAAATTCGACGATTGGCGCATTGGTATCGGAGAAGAATGCAGCATTTGCTGCACATGTGGCAGACCCCAGTGACTTGGGGAAGAGTAGTCAGTTTCGCAAACTTCGACGGCGACTGACCCGAGAGCTCCGTCACATTAAAAATGCATGGTGGACGGAGAAGGCGAAGCAGATGGAATGCTACGCCGAACGCCGTCAACAAAAGAAATACTTTGACTCCTTGAAGGCGGGGTTTTGGACCGAGATTGGAGCCGTTGAGGACATTTATCGATGGTTTGTTCAGGCACTACCTGCACCCAGACTGCAGACATAATGCAGGTCTGGCGGAAACACTTTGACTGTCTCTTGAACAGCCGTTCAGAGATCGACTGGCCTACATTGAGTGGATTTAAGCAGCACAATGTGAAGTCGGGTCTGGAGGACATGCCCACGTTGGATGAGAAACGGATGGCACTTGCTCAGCTGCAAGTTTGCCGAAGCTGACAGGATCCCTGCTGAAGTATTGAAACACGGTGGACCCGCGTTGTTGCCTGCGCTGCACCACTTGGTACATCGTGTATGGATTGAGGAGGAGGTGCCTGCTGAGCTGCAGGATGCCCTTGTGCTACCACTGTACAAGAGTGGAGGTAGCAAGCAATGTTGCAAGAATTAGCTTGATGTCAACTTGCTGAGATGTGCGTGCAAGGTAATTACCCGAATCCTGCTCGACCGCCTCGTCAGTCAGGTTGTAGAACCAAACGTGGCGGAAGCGCAGTGCGGATTCCGTTCGAGTCGCGGGACTATAGATATGGTGTTTGCGGCTCATCAGTTGCAAGAGAAGTGCAAAGAA